GAACATTTATGAATTACAATTACGAGAACTGCTTCACCTTGCCCAGTGGCCTGAAGTGACTAAACTAAAAGTTGCTCTGACAGGTCAGAAACTCACTTAACGCGAGAAAGATTCCAAGTGACTTGGATTACAACGATAGATACAATGTTATGTCAATGCTAAGACTCAAGTTTGCACGAATTTGAATCGAGGATCAGATGTAATCATACGATATGTGCATGGCTTTAAAAACACTCTACTCGCTCTTGATAAGCGAAAACATTTGGTTTAAAGAACATTTTTTGTTTTTAAATGTCTTATTGTACAGTATACAAAACATACGTCGTCGAATTACGCGATCACTATTTTGCATCACATCAATGAACACCACAATGAAAATCTTTTCTATGCGTCATTCGGTCTCTTTTTGTGAATTAGCAATCATTACATAAACGTTCTATAATATTTGCAGTTTTATATGGTATATGGTATAGAAAAAACCATCATCGTCAAACATTCTATAATATTTGCAGTTATATATATATGTATATATATAAAATGTACACTTTGTTCATTTATTATATTTATCAAAAAAAAAAAAAAAAAAAAAAATACTTTCTATATAAGCATATATAGAAAAAAGCCGATGATCTCTCCTATCGATAAGTTTAATTAAATGATCGTAGGTTGACATCATATTGAAGAGTGAAAAAGTCAATAATTTTTACATAGTTAATGAACAGGAAACTTTCTGCTTTTAACGATATAAAGAAAATTTGATCGATTACCAGTTTCTTTGACAAAACCTAACCTAAAACTGAATATTGACTAAGGCTACAAAGACTAATATTCACGGTTTCGTAATTTTATGCCTTCTTGCCCTCCTGTTGTGTAACTAACAGAACAGAGAAGAGTCAAAAACAAAAGCCTTTCGAATTTTCACTCTGTATGCATCGAGTGATCGAAAAAGCTGATAAAATTTAAAAGAAATTGAGAAATGGAAAATCAAACTTCAACTAATTCCATAGACGAAAATTGACACATTGGTCTATCTACACGCCCACAATGGCTAATAAATATTGGATTTGAGTTATTGGAGAGGAATTTCAAAACAAAAATCATGTTATTAAAACTAAAATTAGTGACGTTTTGCATAGGATCTACGGATTACCTACAATCACATATGTGATGTAAGCTGAAATTTAACCCAGGTTTAGTTCAGGATTAAAAAATGGTTGTGATCTGCCGGTACACAGGTTGATAATAGATTCAAAACTTGGGCAACATTGGGAAAGTAGTGCCAATTATTTTTTTGACATTTTTTCCTTTAACTTTTCAGATTCGAAGCATTTGCAATGCCCAGTAGGAAGATTCCGAGACCCCACAATGTATATGTATATTCTAGATCTGGCCGCAAAGATCAAGCTATCGACTATTTTTTTCAATACCTTTGTAATACGCTTCAGAAACAAGCTTCAAAAACCCCATAACATATACAAAATTCCTGGCCAGTTTCAAATTCGGAATACACCTGAGCATGTCCGTCTATGTATCTGTCCATCTGTCCGTCTGACCAACTGTATGCAGTATCTGTGGCAAACATTGTCCGGTGCGCAAAAGTGAAGATATCGCTTACAAATTTCCAAAACAATTTGAAAGTGACCTGAACTTTTGAAAGGATACGTCGACACACCTATACAATACCCACTTTACAGTACAGAGCATGAAAATTGAACTCTTTTACTTTTTCGTCTTTTTTAAGATAACGGCGATGGGTATAAGAGATTTGGTCAGTGCCGAATATAATTTTCTTACTTCTTTTATTTACTAATGCAAGCGTATTCATGACAATTTCCATCCCACTGTAGGCATAATAATAATAACAATAATAATAATAATAACAAAAAAATTTTTACTTTCGGACGTGATTTTCTATTAAAAAAAACGAGGATTCCTGCAAACGATGTAAAGGTGTAGGAAGAGACGAATGCAATTGTTGCAAGGCAAACAACGCAACTAATATGCTTCTTCCTTTTTTTTCTATTTTTTTTTTTTTTTTTTCTAATTGATTTGAAAAAAAAAAAAAACGCTAGATAAATAATACGGAAGACTATCGAAAGAGAATAAAATACATAAATAGTTGAATAAGAAATAAAAGTACGATACACAGCTGACTAATAAATAAGGTATAAAATATACACAATATGGAATGGAAAGTACAAATATAAATATGTATATGTATGCACATGAGTATCTAAACTCATGCCATGGAATAGAGGAAAAGAAGAAAAAGATTTCAACAAAAACTTTTCGTGCCAAAAATCAAAAAACAAGAAAAAAATCCAAATAAGTAAAAACATGAGGCCATACTACACTCGGTAAAGGTCGACCCTTTTATAACACCACCTTCTTAGGAGTTATAGTATATTACAACTGCAAATTTAAGAACCAAAAAACCGAACAAAACAACTCATTTCAAATAGCAATGGACTAAACTCATGTCCACATACATACAAACAAGAGCACAGGAGATAGGAGAAGAATATCTGCGAACTTATTCCATGTGCAAAAGTCGGAAACACGCATGATAGAACTTTGTGAAAGAGAGTATATAGTATACAGTTTTGACTTGCCCATGTTCCGAAGGAACCGAGCTAGCTTCACTTTCTCAAATCAGTCGGCTGAACTAATCTCGGTATCCCGTTATCGGTCGTAATATTATCGATGTATATATAAACTCATCATTGGCACTTCGATTTGATTTACAAATTTCAAAAACCTAAGTTTACATAATTTTTTTTGGCATTTTTTCGATAGACTTGGATAGATTTAATTTGCTTATCCTATAACAATATAGGTGTGAATGTTAAAGACTCGATCTTGGATACTGAAGCGAAGCACTTTTCAAGAAATTGCATTCAATGGTAATTGAATTGAACATTAAAACACTCGGTACCATCATTCGCAACTAGAATATGTGTATATGTATATGTGTATGGATGGTAAGTTCTACTAAGATAATTTATAGGCAACTAGACGTTCAAATTTAATACTAAATTGCTTCATGTTTACTCTGCGCGATATTTACAAGCGTTCGCGAATTGCATTAACTGTAGTTGTGAGTTGTGCAATGGGATAGCCACAGAGAGAAATGCAAGTGAAAATATTTTGAAAATTTTGAAAATGAAAAGGTGAAGAAAAAATCGCACTCATTATATTATTATTTACGAAAGGAAGAATAAAAAAACTATTACGGAAGCTAAAGAAAATTAAAAAAAAAAATTTTTTTTTTTTTTTTCTCTTTCAATTTTTTCTTTTAATTACAATTCAAGATTTGAATTTTTGCAGCAACAGATAAACGAAATGTTTGCGGAGTTGATATTAAAAATCTCATCGACTAATAACTTAGCCAAGTGTGTTTATATACAGATATATATATATATATACAAATAGATATACATATATACATTTATATATATGTAGATATGTGTGTTAAAATTTTCAGGATATTTATGCGAAGTTTTTTGGATCTTAAGAATTCTTCTATTTGGTATCAAATATAATGGCACTGGTTATTTTTTTTTTTTTCTTATTTCTTTTTGCTTTTCTGTTTTTATGCTTTATTCTTATAAAAAACAATCTTTGGAAAAATCATTTGGGTTTTTTGTTTTTATTTTTTTTATTTTTTTTATTTTTTTTATTTTTTTCTTTTTTTTTTTTTTTTTTTTTCCTTTTTTCTTTTTGAGCTTTCACAATATATTGATGAGCTCACACAAAATTTGTCGTCGCTTAGGTACTTCGCGTGCCGTCCAACTGAATAACATGTTTATTTTGGCGCATAGATTAAGTGTGCCTTTGCTTAGCTTGTTGTCAGGCCGACTGACAGTGTGACTGGCTGGCTGGCTGGCTGGCTGGCTGGCTAGATGGTTGGGTTAGTAGACGTTTGATTGTATTTTCTCAAGAACTTTTTTATTCTTCGTTTTTCGGCTTTCAGTCGCAGATAATCAATGTGTTGTATGTTATAGTATTTTATCGTTCAAAACGGTTGGCGGTGCTTGATAGATTCTAAAAAGCTTTCGAGGCTTAATTCTATTTCTTTATGTGCAAGATTTTATTTTGCAATTATTATATATTGAGAATATAAATATGAAAATATATATCTAAATATAAATATAAATACATATATAAATGCATATATATATATATTATATTTTCCTCTCGCTTATATAGACACATAACGTTGTGTACTCACTCATTCTCAGCAATAATTTTGTTTATTTTGTATTTGTTAATAAACACTTTATGTGCTGAATGAATGACGCGGAATTTTCAGTTTGGTTATTATTATTGCTATTATATATCATTATATACTTCAATTATAGCAAATTATATCAATTTTATCATGACGTTGGTAACACGCTCGAGAATACCAAAAGATGGCAATAATTGCTTAAAAACGATACCAATTTTTCCTTTATGCTCTTAAGTACATTACGAAAACTATAAAATTTCCTCATTTGTGAGATCATTTATATTAAATTTTTTTTTTCCTTTTTATTTGTATATATATATATATATATATATATTACGGCTTGACAAATTTCATCACAAAATGTTGTATAAGGTAACAAAATATTGACTTTTTTTCGCTTCTTTTTCTTACATCCACCGCTAACTTGAACTTTAATGATGAGATTCGAAATAAATTATTAATTCCAAGTAAGCAATTAATCTTTTTTCTACGTAAGACTCCGTAAAGTGTAAAGAAAAAAGAAACGAAGAAAAAAAAAGAAGAAAATTTCAGATGATTTTCTAATAATGCAAAAGAACAAAAAAATTGCTTTTCGATGATCGATTTCCATTCTTCTAATCACAAATATAACTCCACATCCACTTACGCACACACATGTTTGTTTTCTATTTCAATATGTTTAAGCAATTTTGATTTATATAGCAAATACGATAGTGGCCCGAGAGTCTTGCTTATAGCCTTTTATATATTTAGTTATTTGAAAACATATTCAAATCTCCATAGGTTACTTAGTGTACTTAGCCATTTCGATGAATGTGAGGTACAATAATAATCGATCGTTAATAATTATTAATAATTCATAGTATAACATTTATATTCATTTTCCTAAGCATGCATGTATGCATACAGCACAAGGTCCTATTGTCTTTGCATTAGAATGTTATTGAAAAATAAAACAAAAAACACCTATTACTTTCCCAACTATTTCGCAGTATTTTTCAGTGTGAGTAAGTTTTTCATTTATCAGCAGTTGTCACACTATGCATGTTTGCATTTAGAAAGGCCAACAACAGTTATTTTCCATAAGCGATGCAGCTCTTTAAGCTGCTTTGTCTTTGTCAGTTTCAAAAGTACATAAAAATTATTTTTAAAATAATTAAGTATTGAAACGCATTACATGTTTAGCTTAGCTAGTTCAAAAAAAAAAAAAAAAAAAACAGTTTAAAAAACAAAGTCTCAATGATAGTAAATTACGTGTTAAGTGAAAATTTATTATCATTGCGCCGCAAAAAAACAATTTAAAAAAGCGGACGAGAAAAGCAAATACGCAAACCGATCCTAGATAGTTTTTTCGAAAAATCTCTCTCTGACGCCTTTTATTCTTGTACTGTTATCCAAATGTCATATGTAACCTGGAGTAGCATCGAATTTTCCTCCTCCACAACAGGAAACGTAACTATTTTCGCAGCAGCGAAGCTTGCAATTAATTTAGTCGATATTATGTTTAAGGGCGGTATACTTACTAGTACGCACTCGGTCCGCAAGTTTTTAGAAATCACTGACGAATTTAATATTCGAACGATAGGAGACAAATTTTTTATAATATATATTCAATTTCACTAAAAAAGTGCAAAACCTCGAAAATACATTATCTTCATATATCAAGGGCGACCTTTGTTTCAAAGTTTGTTGGTCTGCTGACCAAAAATATTAAGCACTTGAACCTTGCTGTTGTCTTTACAATCCTCCTCCTCTTCAGCAATACTCTGACTGCCGGTTACCTGCATTTTCTCGCCCTCTTTTGTTCTTCCCTAATCCTGAACGCACCACAATATGTGCCGTGTTTTCTTCAACTTTCCACGAAAGTTTCTTCTTCCCTTAATACGCACTATTGCATTAGGCAATAGCATGTATTTTGATCAGCGATATTTATTGATGAAAATAAAAAACTATCAATGCGCACAACGGTTAAATTCGATGATTTTGAGAATTTTCCAATTAGTATTATTGAGTCATTCAGTGTGCAGAGACGTTAATTTCATTTTCGTCTTTCATTACTGTCGTTGCTCGATTTGGGGAAATCTGCTGCCGAAGCCCAATCAACAACTCTTAGAAGGTTATGGTGATGCATATATTTACAATAATTTTATATGTAACACCCAGGAGGGCATAAAATGAATCCACTCACTTCTTATGATCCAGAAAAAATTTGCCGAATCAATGTAGGCCTGTATGTCTGCCGTCCGTCCGTCCGGCCGTCTATCTGGTTCGTTTAATGGTTTTCTATGCATTTTGAGATATATTAATCAAATTTGATACACGGGACGGTACATATAGACGGGACTTTCACATTTTCGATCACACCCAATAAAATGTTTTATTTAAAAAAAGTCGTTCTATGAAATATATTGCAATTTTCAAAATTCTTCGATAAAAATCGCTGAGTAAGAGGATTTCGTCATTCTAAATGAATGTAGAAAATTTGGATCGCATAGAACAAGTTTCTGAGTCCCCTCCCGTATTGTTCTTTGTACGAAAACTGAACTTTCTTTTAATTTTAAATATTTCTTGGTGAAAATTGATCCGTAACAGTAATTTGATGTGGAAATTAACCTTACCGAATTTGGATCAGGTATATCTATTTTTTAGATTACACTCTATGTAATGGTATGCTCACCAAAATTAAGCCGTTATATAGCTAATTTTAAATATTTTATGATAACTGGACCAAATTATAGATGCACCCACCATCCAATGCGATAAGGGATGATGCATGCGCTCGCGTAACCTCGTAAAAGCTTTGCTACGCTATATATTTTGTTATTTGTGAAAAAAAGGCATAGAATACGAGTCCATCAGCTCGGCTACCTCACTGATCATCATGACATAAGTATTCTTAATTTTTTATATGTTTAATACTTTTTATATATTTTTATTTTAGTTTAACAATTTCAAGTCATATAACGTCTTCGCCATCGTCTTTGCCTTAAATTACGTAATTGAGAGATCAAGATGATGGAAGACGCGAATCGTAATTGTGGAAATATTGCAATATGGAAAGTGAAAATTACACCTGCCCCTCGCGAACGCACAAGAACGCGCAAAAAGACGCCAAGACTTTGGTTGAGTGTTAAGTTCACAAAGTGAACAAGCTTTCACTTCACAACTGAAAATGCACTACTAACTGTGATAGATTGTTTATTTTCATTCTCAAATAAATGAATTAAGAATCTTTAAGAGATGTCGGTTTATCCCCGACGGGATACGAATCGATATGTATGAGGTGCCTTTGCATTTATTTCGAAAAGTGGAAATTATTTGGAAGCGCAACAATAAACAATTGTTTTCTTCGATTATTTGGTAATTTTATCAAATGTAAGAACTAATTTCTACGTAACGACGGAAATAAATGACATCAATAAAAAATATGTTATAATTGCACAAAACTTTTAAAATAAAACAAAGAATTCAATACGAAACGGTTTTTATAAATAATGTAAACAGAATGAAATGAAAGAAAGGACCACAAAACTATTGAAAGCGGAGAAAAACGCCCATGCGGCCGTTTTTGTAATTATTATTAACGAAACCGCACACACGGCATGCACACATATACTCGCATATTCGAATAAATTTTTAAGTTTAATATATAGTTCACACACAACAATGTACAACGAATAGATGAGAATTTCTTTTTTTTATGTTTTACATTTAGTTTACGTACATTTAATGCGACATCATCATCAAGTGATTGCCTCAGAGGTTATAAAAAATAGCCTCAATAATATTATTCGAATGTTTCATTTCTCTGATTTCTATTCGCCGCTTTTCACATGGCACATATAATAGCTTCCCCATAAAATTCAAAATGAACCGTTCAAATGAATATTTTCCCGCAAAACTGCGTAAACATAAATGTGCTTCTTTAAGTCATTCACTGAGCATAAAACCAGAGTAAAATCATAAACGCGAAAACACTTAATAAAACATAAATAGAAAATATAAAAATAATTTAATTAATTTATAAAATAAAGAATACAAAGCAACAAAACGAGTAAAAATATTAATTTGGAGAAAAAGAAATCCATTATTTTTATATGAACTTCAGGACTTTATTTAACATGCTTCGGATTGTCCGATTTGGGTCAAATATGCATCGTTTTGTTGTACGATTTGTTGCCATTTTAAAGGTAACTTCAAAATGCCTCTCTCATAGAAGTCCTCGTCTCTATTTGCAAAAAACTCTAGTAGTCGATTTTCACAATCCTCCCTAGATTCCAATTTTTTATCATTAAAGAAATTTTGCAATGCAAGGAAAAGATGATAATCGCTTGGTGCCAAGCCCGGACTGTATGGCGGATGCATTAAAACTTCCCAACCAAGCTCCCGAAGTTTCTGGCGAGTCACTGTAGATGTGTGTGACCTAGCGTTGTCCTGGTGGAACACGACACCTCTCCTGTTGGCCAATTCTGGCCGTTTCTGGTCAATCGCTATCTTCAAACAGTCCACTTGTTGACAGTAGAGATCAGAATTAAGCGTTTGGTCATATGGAAGCAACTCATAATAAATAATCCCCATCCAGTCCCACCAAATGCATAGCAAAACCTTCCTGGCCTAATAATATAGTCAGTCAAAGTTGACCGTTAAATACCACCCATCCTTTCGCCTAATTTATGCATTCGTTCATTTTCGCGATAATATACCAAAAATTATACATCACTTTCATACATGCATACATGCTTTTCATGAAAACATTTACATTGTAGGGTGCCCGAAAAGTATTAACTGATTTCCTATAAATTTGGCAAAGTAAAAATTCCTTATAAAAGATCCTATTGCTCTTTACCTACTTTCATTATTTCATCGCCCATATAAAAAGCTTAAGTGTACTGAGAACCCTTATATATTATAATTAGGGGTAAAAAAATTTTACCCACGTAGTCCGAATTAGCTACGGTTATCTTTATAGACAAATTTTCATCATAAAATCTTCATTATTAAATTTTGTTTTTCATAAAAATTGCTTACTAATCAGAGGAACTCCTGATTGATATATTCCAGATTTGATGTATATCAGATTTGATGTATATCAGATTTGATATATCTATCAGATTACTGTTATAGACCGAATTTTTTCATTCAATCTTATAAATTAGACCTTCTTGCCCAGTAAAAGTTTGTTTTACATGGAAACTCTTATATGAGGTGAGATCCGAAAGGATAGGCCTACATAGTCCAAATTTGATATAATTAATTTTTATTTCAAATTACTATTATGGATCAATTTTCACCATAAAATATTGAAAATTAGACATTTTTGTCATATGAGTGTTCAGCTTTCGTAGGAATGGTTATTTAGGAGGGCAGTGAAGAAATCCTGTCGTCAGATCCAAATTTTTCACATCAAATTGGAATGGCAATTAGACTATAGTCTGCTGATTTTTGTCCAAAAGTTATGAAAAGTGCAAATATTTTTTTCTAATAATGATGTTTTCAGTGTGAGTGAGTGGCGTGATCTAATTCAATTTTAAATAGGATCGGCCCCTAGGCCAAACAACGTCGGTATAATAAATTTCGAGCAAATATCTTAAAAATCGCCAACTGTAGGTTGATCATGAAAATATTTGATTTTAACGCAAATTTTCACTTGATGTGATTTTTTTTAATTTATTGCGAAATGACTTTACGCTCCTATATTTTCCTTCCATTATTTTATTAGGCACATATTTAGGACCCCTTAAAATATATCTTTGAGTGAATTAAGACACACAAATACGCCTACATATAAAAAACCGTAAATCTAAAAAAGGTATTAGAATATTACAAATGGTAAAGAGAGAAAGCAAAAAACGTAGTTTAGCTTTAGAGCGGAAATGAATTCGACACATACATGGTTAATATGCAGAAATCATGATTTTATTCTTAATTGTATCCGAACCAATTGACTCATTAGGATTAATAGCATTTAAAATTTCAAATCCACGATACGAGAAACGTAAATTGATCTCAGGTGTACAGGTAGCACCTTAGATATAAATGAGACTTTGAAGCAGCAAGGTTGCACTTACACATTGGGCGCATAAAACTTGTTCACGCAACGCACAATAACTATTCGGAATTCGTCAAAGACAAGTGCTCTATTCTACCGCAACAAAACGCTCCTTCTATTTGCCAATGGTGTACATTTTCGTTCACTTGCTTACTTCGCAGGACTTCGGGCATGCTTGTGTACTGTAATCAGCTGAAACGATCGCTTTGCTTGATGACGACGGTTCACATTTCTTCTGCAATTTTGTCAAGGACGGAAAATGAGCTTCTTGAAAGGTAGTCATCAAGCAGCTTGGATTGCAGACAATCAATACATTTTTCGTAAACACTAATCATCCGATATAAAGACGGTTTGTTTTGCCAGTGAGTTCAGCGGCAAAACGCAAACTGATTCGTAATCTATTCAAGATGTTCTCAAGCTTGGCCTTGAAGCAGCTAATTAATCGCTGTACATGTTATGTATACATGTACATGTATATCCTTCCACTGAACCATTCACAGAGACGTCGCAAATCGCACAAGCAAATTTTTTGGCTACTGTTTGCGTGACTTAACTATCTTCCAAAATTAATACAAACTTGGGGAAACGATGAGAAGAGAACACAACTGTTTCCATTTATGGCTGGCAACCGGTTGCATCGCATTAAACTACGAATGGTTTTTATTTCAATATCAAGCAACTTTACCAGACGGTTGTTTTTCTTGGAATTGAGAATGGCAAAAAATTGGAGATAGACATTTGATATTTGAGTTATGCTTTGAAAAATCATTATAATTCGCTCATAAACGTGCACACATCCAACAAAAAGTCGAGTCTGTAAAAATACCGATAATGCAAAGATATACGATTCCTTTGAGATTTTCTCAAAGAAATTTAAAACAAATGTTTGTCATGATCAACAAGATTTTCGGTCTTAAAATAAACCTGATCGGCTAACTGCGATCTTCAAAATAGTGCGGCTGTTTAAAGAATTGGTCCGAGAATAAATCGGCAGAGAGAGAGAAAGAGTTTCGAGAGAGAGAGTTTTAATTTTACCTACCTGGTGTAATGCCAATTGATCAAATCAAAATACAGACTTGAATTTTGCCTCGTATTTGAAATGCGTAAAATGTATAAATGAATACAAGAACTTTGTATAGCAAACAATGGAAAAATAGTAAAAGCAAAAAAACAAAGAAATGCAAACATCATAGGCGGGCAAAAGCAATCAAGGAAAATACCCTACGCTATTTCACTTACCATCATTATCAGAGTTCAATATAAATGAAAATTAAATTTGGAAACCTAATAAAAGTTAAGGATTCTTTATAAAAATCTGATTTGAGAAGAAACTCAAAAGATGATGCAATTTGGATCAAATTTTGTTTTTTCAAAGATTTATTTATTCTCCACACATTTTCGTCCTACGCTACCCAAAGTTACAGTTTGTAAACATATGACGGCTTGCTTTCTACGAAAAATGTCCGTTATATGAGACCGCACCAAGATGATCCACATTTATTCCACAGAGTAAATTAATATGTTCAGTCATCTTTTCACTTATTACAGTACACTAATGATTAGACCTTGTTGCTATAAAAAAGCCTATTGTGTTTCGCCCCACTCCGTCAATATTTTGGATATTCAAAAGAAGTTTTCTTTTTTTTTCCCGTAATAGAACTTCATATAGAGAATGGCTGTAAAAAAAATTTCAGTCCAAGCCTTTTAGAGTGGGGCGGCTTGCTCTTGGGCTGAAACTCGTCAGTATAAATCGCCGAAATTCAGACAAGGACGCATGCGTAAACCGAAAGTTTATTCGGAACAACGAGTCACTGTGGGTGTTGCATACATTCTAATAAACGTAATCTGCTCGTATCACAAATGCTGTAGGGTATATACAGCAAGAAAAACCTCATGTTAGATATGTAAAAAAAGAACAAAGAGCACGTACCACGCCATGAAAGCAAGGGTATGACTCATTATTATTTTAAATACTTACAAATACTAAAGGTTGATGTCTGATGTGGAATAAACCCAAGCTTTTT